CCATACGCTACAACAGCGTGGGTACACTGTGGTCGTCCCTGATTACATTCTATTCCCGAAAGGCAAAATGCCGGATATGGTGAACGACGTCCGGGCTGCCATTTTGTGGACTCAGCGCAATATCAGGTTCGTTGCATTAGTGTTTGCGCTTACGGAAACAGGCGGGACGAAATTCTCACTGAACGATTCAGTAATTATGGCGGTGATCCAGAGCAAGTAAGTAAATACCTTTCTCCCGGATTGGCAGACCGCCATCGTGATCAGTGCTTGAAGCACCATTGACTTGATTGTGGACATGCAATGACAGATCCACCTAATGGGCCACTCAGCTGGTGCCCACCTCTGCGCCTTAACGGTCCTCCACAATGCTGTCCAATCCGCTTATAACACAAGTAGCCATTTCGAGGGTGCTCCAGTTGGAACGTTACCTCGTTGGACAGAAACTATGCGACCCGTTCGAGGAATCATTCTGTATGAATTCCCTGTTCTGCAGTCTGGAGTGTCCGGCTTCGCTAATATTGGGAGAATGTTAGCATGGCTGGAGTCTACGATATAACTGATCATTACGTCTTTGAAAGCGCCCGGGGAGTAGAGGAGGTCTCTGTCATGTGGCGTGTGTGCGGTATGTCAAGTTCTTGTTCGGCGTTATTTTGCACCTTCGATGGACGACTTATGAAGGGGTGACTTCCACCTTGCATGTTCCGTGCGTTGTCCAGGCACGCATGAATTGGCATTCGCTCACGCCTCGCCTTCACACGTCGTACGTAATTGCTCGGCAAGCGCGCTCAAAGGTCACGACTTTGCTCGCTGGGTTCCCAGTCGATGGCTCATCGTTCATGGCCATGAGGTGAGCTGAGAGGGATGTTGTTGACTTTGAATGTCAGCGTTATATCCTAAACCTCTGTTGCGGGGCCACAGGATGACACAGTTCCCATGTCGTCCTCTATAAAATTCTACCATCTCCTTCACCAGCATTTGCGCATCCCTCAAGTGAAATTGATCGATTACGAGGGGGTGAAACATGCGGAATGTGTCGTTGGATTAATGGTTCCAAACTCGTACTGGGCGACTACCTTTCTCCCAGAAGTGGACAAGTTGATTGATGGGAAGTGTGAGTCTGGGTGGGAGAAAGGGGCAATAACAATACGTGGACTTCAGTCCGGTTGAAATAATAATGAAATCCGAACTGTGGAGAAGAAGTGTATCATTGTGATTTAACTCCGTATTGTACAATATGAACTACGTGTTCCGCAGGGATGTTATGCTGAATTGCATCCCGACAGGCGGTCATCACCTCTGACCTTGCCGGCCCAACTGTGAGAGAAGCGCCAGTCAGGCCCTTTCCTTTCGCTTTGACATGCATCAATTGCCGAGTTACTTACCCCGCAAATTGGCCGCCTTCTGAATAATCGCATTAACAGATTTCAGACTCTCCACAAGCCTCGTATGATTTACGGTGCGTTTGACGTGTTCCGCCATGAGGTCCCGATTCATGTCGTACACTATTGAGTATGATTCTTTCATTGCCAACCTGGCGGAATTGGGGAAGTTCACGACACAATGCAGCACCAAAAAGCAAGCAGCTCACGCAGAAGGTGATCATACCAATCTCCAATCAACCGACTATCCTCAGCCCGAACAACCAACATCCGCAACGCTGCTGCCGCATCCGCCATATCCGATGCATACTTTGTGCGAATGGCATTGGCGTCTTGTATTTGCGTCAGCAAGGTGGTGAGCGTGCTCCATTCGGCCGGAAAGTAAGCTGTGACGGCCAAATTGGGGATGCCAAAATAGGTTGAGAAGGAGTGGAGGAGGGTGGAAGCGAGCGAGAGCGATGGCGTGTGGATTTGGAGCTATTGGGTGCGAAGCGTGATTTTCACTCTTTCGGCGAAAAGGCGATGTCGGAAAAACGATGATGTATGTACCTGAGAACCGTTTTGACGGATATGAACCGGCTCATGATCTCGCAATCCCACCGCACAAAACGCGCCCTCTCCTCCCCACATCCCCTTCCACGGGGCGTTGGATGATAAGAACGATTTATCAATCCATTTGGTAACCTGAACTCCACGGAACAGAGAAATCTGGTCAGCGGACCCGTACGGACACATGTGCGATTCATCATCAAAGTGGAACCGTACCGCTTGTGGAGGCTCTGCCGTCAGTATGGAGGCGAACGATGATGATAATGGGAACGACTCGCTCGGTACACATGCATACGCGGCGAATTCCGGTATGTGGATACTTTCTTCATATACGCATAGCTGTGCGTTGCTCCTTAAGACGGACAAAGATGGTGAGGAAGAAAGGGACAACCCTGGGTATTCATGTTCCTAACGCCTACCCTGGTCCAACCGCTATGATTATTTGAATCGCAATGTCTGCTTCTTCGTCCCGGCTTAATGGAAGTTTCGTGGAGATTGATGGGCCGGGCACTGGATGTCTGCAAGACGATCTTTCAGGATTTTTTTCTATCGACTCAAAACAATCATCTGGATTCGACGCCATACATTGCAACGTCCTCTTCAAACACCTTCTCCGCACGTAAATTGATCAATTGTATCCGGGTGTCTGGCAGCGTCGTGTCGATGTGCAGGTAGCACCCACTCTTGGTCAAGTTCTGCGGGTCATATTTGGCAGAGATACTGCATCGAACGGGAGGATCGTCTCCTCCGCGTGCGGAGGGTACTGTGGGAGAAATGCCAGGTTCGCTTTTGCGCGGAGTGAGCGACGGTAAATGGACCTTGGATGTATGTCTTTTTTCCGCTGATTTGGCTCGGGAAGTTGCAGATGCATCCTCATCCTCCTTTGAGTCAAACATGACGGTTTCCACAGGGCCGCTACCACCCGGCACGGTCCCTTCACTATGGGTTTTGACTGAAGGGAAGCGGTCTGCAACGACAACTGGTTTCGTGCGAGACGAGGTGGGCCGCTTTAATCTCTCCAAGTCATCTGATGACGCGCGCTCTTCGTGGTTTGCCCTTTCTTTATCTTGATCCTCTTCAGAAGGGTATGCCAGGGCTTTCTCCTTTTTAGATACCCGCTTCCCGCGCTGCTTTTCGGGAGGTTTCTCTTCTCGTGCGGGCTGGGGCACTGGCACTGTCGCGGGTTTTGCACCACCGGTGCTTTCAAAGTTCTTTAAATCACGCAAGAGTTGCTGAATGACCAAATATGGTGTGAAGATAGTGCTGTAGTTTCTTGCGGCACAAGATTGGATTTACCTGCTTTTGTAGATTCAGCTCACGCAACGTGTCTTCCTCCAAACTTCCGGATGACAAGGTGTTGACCAGCTCCATTTCGGCAGGCACATAACCTTTCACTGTTGGAGTAACACGTTGAGTCACTTCAGTTTTAAACAACAGGAGTATTAATCCACATACCTGACCCGTCCGAAAGCACAATAACCAGCGCCTCCTTCCCATCTCCCCTTAAATCTGCTTTCACAATCCCTGCAACTCCAACCGCAAACGTCTCGGTTGCGCAAACCTCACCCGTCGCCTCGCTGCGGGCTTCCATCAACCCATTTGAAAATCCAATGATGAGCTGTCTGGAGCCGTCTGATGATATGCTATAACTTTTTTTGGTTCCCAAATTCGTCAAAATGTAATCCAAGCCGAAAGTCACAACAGAGAACCCAACCATAATTTTCTACCTTGTCATGGTAACAATCTGAAAGCGAGACCGAGATTTCCAAAGCCGCTTGCGATTGTTGTACACGCCAAAGGAATTGTTGGCCAGAGCAAAGCTATTTTGACGTCCACATGGATGCGAATTATGAAAGGGTGACTAGCTCGTTTTAAGTTCATCGTGCAGCGTACCCGTAGTGCGCCCCAGTTAGATTGCAAAGGGTCGTCACCGAGTCCGTTTCCGTTATTTCCGCCACACACTCATCGAGCGCGAAGTGCCGAACTTCGTAATCCTAAATTTCAAGTCAACAGGTCCATTTTGTATTGGGTAGTATCATTTGCGGAGATCTATTTCGCCTACCTCTGAAGCCACCACAAGCTCATTCTCACCGTCCTATGATACAAACGATTCATTGGTTGGCTGTAAAAACCTACAGACTCAGCGCAAGTGTTTACAAACCCCATCCACATCCATCAAAAGCATCCGCGTAACAACATCTCCTGTCAACGTCCAATACACGTTATTACCGTCACTGTCGTAGCCCTCCAGTGAACATTCAGGTTGCGCCTTTCGATGGATAATGGCAATTTGCTAATGACGCTACCTGAATAGTACAGTCGCCAGCGGTGATGATAACAGGACTTTCAATGCCGTTCAGATATCCAACCAGAAGAGATGTGACGCCGCTTGGGATGTCTTTGTAAAACAGGTCGCTGTTGTCGTGCACGTCATAGCTAGTGTTCCAAAGGAACGGAGGAGTGCATGTTTGCTGGATTAGTGCTTCCAAAAGTCGACCAAGTAAAGCAGAAAACATTGAGAACCGGGTACATACGCCCATAAACTGGCGGTGGTTCCAATAATCAAAACATCTCTCCCCAATTCGGGTCTCATCCGGGCGGCAACAAGGCCTGTCAACTGCTCGGTGACATTAATGTATTGCGGTTGATCACCATGTTGCTGACCCTGGCGAAGTTGTGGAGTTTGGATCGCGATACGAGTGGATGATGTGGCATAAGTAAGCGAGGCAAAGTTGCCGTCATCTTTGAATTATATTCGGAAAAGGGTAAGCTGGAAGGAAGGCTTAAGAGAGATATGATAGGGGGTCCTACGAAACACACACATTTTCCCACCGTGACCAAACCATATTGCACAGGTTCCCCCAGCGAAAGGTTGAAAATTGGCAAAAGCATCCTTGAGAGAAAGACAGAACGCGTGTGGACGCGTCGCGGGTTTTATTAGTCCGCGCCACACACAATGCCATAACTCCGCATCACTGACTGCGCGCGCAGTATAAAAAGAAAAAGACGCTCCCCAACGTTCACCAAACCCATCAGGGGATATTGCGTCTGTAAACCACATAGAAACACAATCGCTCCTGGGTGGGCTTGAACCACCAACCTTCCGGTAGCTTTGAGTGGTACCCATGAAGGACCCGCCCCTAACAGCCGAACGCGCTAGCCAATTGCGCCACAAGAGCTCCATGAATAATAGGTTTTCCTTGCAGTTTAATGATTCTTGATTGAGGTCCATCCCTAACCACCTTCTGGATGTCAAAGTCTCGGGTTCTGACAAAGTAAATACTAAACGAAGTGCCATCGTGTATCCAATGCTCATGCGCGCCTGAAGTCAGGCGAACGCGCTGGCCAATTGCGCCACAAGAGCTCCTTGTCATTGGTTGCAAAGTTCTTCATGTTGTTGTAGAAACGTGGGGGTAGCTGAGATGTAGGCCATGGCGTTCGCGAGCGTCGATTGTTCTGAGCGCAACCCCCGGAGCACGGCTCCCTTGGTTGTAACTCCATTTGCGATTGCCCATTTCACTTTTTCTTTTCTTTTAGCTGGATAGGGCCCAGCACATAAGACAAATTTTATGCCTTGTTACAGTTCAACCTTCCTCGTTGCATACAAAAACTAAGTTGAAGATAATATTTTGCCGTATGGCATTTTGATATTATTTGCTCATATTTAACAAAAACCAGTCTGGGAAATCTCAGCGATCCCGCGCCAAGATTCGCACCAAACTCCAACCCCACAAAAACGGCATTAAAAAGACCCATATCACAACACCACATATTTTATGGCCTTAACATTCCTCCCCCTAGATTCACAAGGCATCCCTTCTTTGAAATATCGCGCTATTAACAATAATCCCCCCACTTTCCAATATTGCGGCTCCCGTATCGGACAATCGTTGTCGCACTCCTCCCGGCCCCGGCTCCGAAGGTAGCTGCACCATTGAGGCCAACTTATCCGCCGACATCTCCATCGGATTATTTCCACCAGCTGGCACATGGCCTGGAGAATTCAAATCCCGATTTGAATTCGATACATTCGCCGCGGTAGCGTTGTGTATATTTGGTTTGCTCAAAGAATGTCTACTATTTGAAGTGCTAGCAGCCAATCCAGCGGGCGGCACTCCTTGAAATGGCTGAGAACCTTGTTGGAAGGCTTGTAATTGCGGTGGGCCTGGGTTAGATGCGGAAAGGCCCGTCCAGCGGGTTCTATTCTTAAGGATCTCCTTGTGTATTTTTGCGGTTTTCTCGGCGTTGCCATTGAATGTGTTCCAGGCCTCATAGAGCGGGGCAACCAGGATATCAATGAAGCCGATCTAGAGTTGCGAAGGAATCATGAATTATTCATGACACGACACGCAGTTCAACAACCGCCACCTTTTTTGCCGTACCTGGCATTTCGGAACATTCGTAGTTGCCCGATCCATAAACTGCGAGATGGGCATGCCCAGCTCACGTTCCTGATCGCCCTGCCGGTAGAATTCCTCCATAACAACCTCCGTCCATTTGCTTGAAAGTGCAAATGTTTTCGAAGGGTTGGTAAGGTCAGCGCATTTTAAGGCGATTTCCATAACCGTTAAGCGATTCTCGACCGTGTCTAGATGGGAGAGGGCGTTGGCGCTTAGTTTTGAGCGGAATTTATTGAGATACTCAAAGTGCTGTAATGAGATATCTTGTGAGACAGCTTTTCGGCAATGCCAACTTTTCGGCCCGCACCACCGCACCAGATGGATGTCCGTACCTTGGCCATATCGGTTGCAAAAATCAATCTTATAATAATTTTACGTGTTTCCTCGTACTCTTCCGGCGTAAAATCTGCAAAGATATTGCATGACGAGTTGTGCGAGGTGATGAACATATGGGAGCAGTGGTGCATTTCTAATACGCTATGGTCGCTGCAATGTGATGCCAGAGTTAGCACGCTTCAACAGTCATGGTGCAATGTATTGATGTTGTCCTACTTATATAATAATGCCCAGGGGTGATGTCGTTTAATAATGAAGTTATTGCTAACACCCTGCAGAGATTTCGTTTCCATGAGTTGCTATGTAGCACCGAACATCGACTACCGCCACACAAATGACTACGGTAAGTACCGGATGATCAATGTCGTGCCCAACGGCTGCCAGCATTCCCGCCATCGCCTCCAAAGGGGTATAATGCTGCCCCTTAGGATCCTCAATAAGTAAGTAATTTAGGGCGTGCAGAACGTCGGCCGCGTGGACCGCGTTGTGGTAAGGGTGCGGGTGATATTCGGACTCCATAAGCTATGTCGGTTTTTCACGCCCGACGTCAGTTCGCTCTTCACGTGTCTTGAATACAGGCGTCCGCTTAATACATATCGTCAGTTGGCTTACCAGTAGCCATTGCTTAAACCTTTCCAAATTGACCTCAAATTGTGCCAACAGGCCGTGAGACTGAAATGCATACAATGCCGAGAAATACAGCGGATGGCCATTTGTCATCTCCGCGAACAGAAACATGTCAAAGTTCCAGGAGCAATACCACAGATCCAAATAATCCCGGATTTTGTTCGCATCGACAGCTTCTAGCTCTTTAAAGATGTTCGTTTTTCCATCGAGGGAGAAATGACGTTCGGGGGTTTTATCCCCTTCTGGAATCGTCGGCGGAGCCCGCATTATGGATGCAGAGTCGATAGAGGAAGTCATAGCCATCTCGCTACGGGGACGCATCACGGAGAAGCGTCGCTGATCTCGCAGATCTCGAACAACGTTTGGTGTGGGAACCATCGGCCCCAGTCCTTCAGTAGACATTGACTGATCCGATGCATGCTGCGATGGCGGCTGTGAAGGGGACCCCACCCTCCTCGAAGAACCATCTCTCGTCAAGGATCCTTGTTTGGACACTCCGCCCGCGAAAGAGGACCCGCCCCCTACTCCCGCAGATTGCGGGGAAGCCAGCATTCCTTGCCGGGTTCCAAGCACGGCATCCAATACCCAGGCGCGCGTCTCTGCATCCATCTCCGGCCCTTCAACATAGTGCATCCCGTCGATGTTAGGCGTGAACCCTTCGTTTGATGTGAGGACTTCAAGGATAAAATCAATTTCTTCTTGCGTCATTCGTGTTGAGTTGTTCCGCTCTTTGACTCGTTGGAGGACTTCAATGGCTTTTTGAACTGGAGCACTGACGTCCAATTTAGGCGCCTGGTGTGAGGGCAATGGGCCGCCTTATCATTAGTTTCGCTGCACACAACCTCGAGTACCTCACCTCATACGGGGACAAGAAAGGAAGTCGACCGACTGGTGCTTTTCCCAACAGGCTCACCTTCGCCAGCTTAGCCTTTTCATAAAACTCCTCGTCTTCTCTCCGCCTTCGCTTCCGGTCCCGCATGAACGCCCATATTGCGACCATCCCACAAAAAATCACAACAATCACTAGAACCGGTGCAAGAATTTTTGCTGTTCTAGTGGCATCTGACACGCAACCATATTCAATCGCGATCATTAATAACTAGGAAATATGAAAAAGAGCACGGTACCATCATCGTTTATCACAGTATCGGGGGGTGTCGTGGTTGACCCATCACGGTAAACAATAGTATTATTGATGATGGCCGACCCGTCATCCGCCACGTACCCGAAAGGGACCAAACTCCCACTTCTCGAGTATGAGAAGGTGTAGTTCCTGTGTTTGCATACAATCAGTGGTTCCTAGATTTTGAAATCAATGAAGCAACTACTGTTTCGCACCCTATACGATCTCCAGTCCCATTTCTGAACGTCACGACTCCCGTCGCGAAACTGGTATTCGGAAACGAAAAGGTGGATGGGATGGAGACTAGTTGAGTGACGGGACCATTGTAGCCTAGAGACAGGTCTGCTAGGGTCAGAGAAGAATTCGAGCGCAGCATCTGGTCGGATCAGTGTTAGAACGTAAATGAGCGCAGCCCAACCGTCTCGGAAACGGCCTCCTCACCCTATCGTATCCGGCCATAAAAAGTTCTACGCATGTTCGCTGAAACCTTTTTCACACATTGAGTAAAGACATGGCCCTTCTCATAACTGCAACCGTAAACAGTTTGCCAACTCCACTTTTCGTCCACATACATGTAAGTCGGTGGAGGCACAGAATACGGCTTGATTCCTGGATACCTAATACGGATCAATCCGTCATCTCAATGTTTGCGCAGCAAGAAAGATCCACCGTAACATCGTCTACTCACCGATCCCTCACAGTCGTATCTTGCCATCTATTCAGCAACTGAGCATACTCCGGTCCCGAACCCTCCCGCAGCGATACCACCCAAATCCCATCGAACAACGTCTCATCGGTGGTTCCATTCGTTATGTGATATTGGTACACGTCGTCGGTTGTGATCCAGACGTATGAAGATGTCAACATCCCCATATCCCTGCACGAAAAAAGGTGAAGGTGAAGCAATGTTGGTTGGAGTTGTACCGTCCACCAGACTCTGCAATAAGAAATTTGAAGTGCAAGCTAAAATATGGGGCGTACCTCGCCTGCGTCAAAACGTTGCCAAAATTGGAACCGTCACCAATATAATGTACCACAGCTGCCTTGGAACTCTGGAGTTTGGATAAAACCTCTTGGATTTGTGCGTCCGTCCCGTCCCCTATCGCAAAACCCAAAGCCTTTAATCCATTCTCCGCAGCCATGTCAGCGGAGATATCAGCGTGGTTTGTTCCTGAGAGAAGTATGGCCACGAATATATGAAAAAATGATCTATAAATCGTTGCCACAAATGAAGTGACACCATTCCTCACCATACGCATCAATCGACCCAATTTGCACCGCAAAATAGTTCTTCCAACCCTGCGCTGCAATCAATTTTAGGATGGCTTCCGATTGATCCTTGTGGGATGGTATTGTTCGGAAAAAGGTGGTTGCAAATGTGCTGACATCCGCATCGAAGCGAGCTGCGAAAAAGGTTCGCAACAAAGAATATAACCTTGAGGGTCACTGATCAACCACCCATGCAAAAGCGATTGAGTCCTCACCTTCCCCATCGCAAACCGGAACATGGTATACTGAACTCACTACTGCGACATGTAGCGAATCTTCATTGCTACTTGGACCTGGAACTTTTGGTGCCGGCAAAACAGATAAGTTTGTCCTTCAAAGCAGATGCAAGCCTTTGGCCGCCTTCCCTTTCTAATACTTTTGACGACATACCAATCACAGCAGCCGCATTGTCATTCGTAATCAT